TTTCGTTTTATTAAACTACCCGAAAATAAGCAACACTATAACAAAAAAGTGTTGCTTATTTTCGGAAGAATACGGTATCTTAGAATAAATTATAAAAGTAATCTTTAGGGTTAAGATTAAGGTTAGGATTTAATAAAATAAGGTTGTTTAAAAGGAACAAAGATATAAGCTATTTATGTTTAAAAGCCAACAGTAGCAAAATTGTCAAATGATTGTATATTAACTTTTTTATATATACCTGAGTTAAGGAAATTCTCTGAAAGACTCATCAAACGGTTCTTAAATAGTTTTTAACGTCTTTTTGATATTCACATTAATATATCTATAAAGTATCTAAAAAAGCACTTCTAATACGCACACGTTCAGTGTAATGCATTCAGGAAAACTAAGATAATACAGCACAAATTGTCTTCTTAATATTTGAATTTGTATTTCATTAAAAAATTAAACACAAGTTCATTGTAGAATGAGAGGTGAAACTATGTGAAAATGGGTGCTTCATGTCAAAATGCTGTGTAAAATACGTTATTTTTAATTAGAATTATCCCTTAATTTATTTAAGTTTCAAATTTAAGGAGAACTTAATCAATCCTGAAGTTTTGTAGTACATTAATTTATTTGATCGTTAAAGAGGTTTTCTTAACATTTACATGTCATTATAAATTAGAATTATTTTTGATTCATTATTTACTGCGTTTGTGTGTGGTAAAAACGGCAAAGTATTTGTGAAATTTTACTGCGCTGCAGTAAAAACTTATAGTTTTTTCGTTTTAAGTGGCATTACTATGCTAGTCACGCAAATTTTAGCATCAATCGGAGCTAACTAAAAAAATAATTGTTTCAGATGTTTATTAATTAATATAAAAAATATATTGATAAAATAATTAAATGGTCAAATTTATGCCTTTGCAGGTCAAAACACAGTTAATTAACTATTGCTTCTCAATTGGTGATTATTAGTATGCTAATGTGGATAATCTTATTTGTACAGACGCCTTTTACTAAGTTTGATCATGTTATAATCTTGTAATAATATGAGACCAAAATATTAATAGAATAATGTTTTGGATTTTAAGGATTAAAAAATATTATAATTGTGACAAATAAAATTTTGATAATAAAATATACAATTAAATATTAATCAATATGTATATTCTAGTTATAATTAATAAAAAGAGCAGAAAGAAATAAATGGTCGATCGATTGCGGCTACAGAAACTCTCTATAGGAACGCGAAGCAAGCAGTTTGATTGTTTTCGTTTAAAGGATGTACCCATGGCCTTAACTATTTGGCCTGTACAGAAAGAAAAATAAATAAATAAATAAATAAAATTACGAAATCAAATAAATATAACCCAGACCACTTCTCCGTCTAATAAAATAAAGATGATATTAAGATCGTCATTAAAGCATTTTTTTTTTTATTTTGTCAATGAGTTGAAAAAAGAAGCTTGGAACCTATTCGAACATGTAATATATATTTATATAAAATATTGCAAAATCATATTATCATTCGCACACGATCATACTATGCGAAAAGTTCCTTTGCTCCGTACCACTTTTTTTTATTTGAATCATGTCAACTTTGGAGACAATCGATTACGTAATCGCACGTTGACCTGTACCTTGGAGCATAAATCACATAATAAATCATAAGATCCGTGATTAATAAAATACAGTAGCGTACTTTCTGTTTCTGGAAAATTAAAATTTCGAGCTTCCACCCTTTGGCATAATTCTAATTTCCCTAAGTTGATTACGTCTTTTAAGCTCTGTAATCAACCTATGTCTAGGAAGTAGTTAGCATTATTAATAGTTAAAGCTTGGTTAGAGGTCCACGAGACACAACATATCCTATCAATTAAGCAGGTGCAACAATGAATTTCCTAACATCGCATTACATTAGAATTACAAGAATGTTTCTAGACAGTAAGTCGGGAATTGAACTCTCTCGATAAAATTTGGCTACTCTCAATTCTCTCGAGGTTATTAGTGATAGCGACAGTAGCATTTATTGTATTCGAAAGTGCAAGTTGTAAATTATTCAATCTAAGACCTTCATATCGGAAGTTGTTAAGCTTAATAATGTTAGAAAGCTTTACTAAAGAGGTGCAGACGTTTTTTTATATTTTAAAGGTCGATGATTTCTAAGAATTCTGGGAATTTAGAAATGTAAAATTTATTAATTTTGAAAATGATCGATCGTCAAGATTTTATAATATTTGTATTCGAAAATCAAGCAAATATTCCTGACGAATCATATGCTCGCTACGTGAAACCATATGATCATTTGATAAACACAGATAAAAACCACGACGAGAAATTAGGCAATGTAGAAGTGGGCAAATATGGTTTATTAAATTTACGTTTCAACTTTTTAAAATATTTTTTCAGGACTTTTGGTTTCATAAAAAGTTACACTTGTTTGCGACGAAATTCGATCAAGCAACACGAGTAGTATCATTTATTTATAGCTTATTGCGATATATATTTCAACTATGAAGTCGAAAGAAGCTGAAGTAAACAAAAAAGTCTCCGTGAAATTACCGAATCATTTCTGAGATTTTGAAAAAATAAAATTCAAGGAACCTAAGAATCAATATATACGAATGACGCAGTAACTGCAAAAATTATGTTAAATATGTTTGCTAAAATAACTATATATTACATATCGTTTTTATATTTGTGTTATTTTTGTTTTATTAATTATTTTCGCTATATTCATTATATTTAATGGTAAAGATAGAATTTTAAACCTCAAAATTCCGACTTTATTGAAAGTTTTGAGAAGAGACTTCAGAAATCTTATAATTAAATAAAAATTCTATACTTGCCCTTTCCATTTAAGACTTGAATGTAATAATCAATTAATCAAGAGAATCGTATTAATAAAATTGTTGCATAAATCTTTCTTATGACGAGCCTTAGATTTAAATCCTAGCAAGTTAATATGGTTTCGGTTCAATTCCAGATTAACAGCAACTAGACTAATAATATGTAAGGCTGGGGTTACAGCCTTAAAATGCAGTTACTTATGTGCACTAAGAGCGGGTGAAAGGGGCATCATGGATGTACACTCCCCTCCAAAAAATATCCGACCACCCGTCGATCATTGCAAATCCTAACATATTAAAATTTGAATTAC